AATTTTTATAGGTCAAATATTGCGATGGAGGATTCATATGATATGCTTGGCACGAGAGTAGTGAAATTAATTAAGATCCCAAATTTTCAAATACATAATTAAATTGAATTACCAGAAAACTACTAAATCTCCTACACAAATACCTTTAACTATACCGCTGAAAAACATTCAGGCAAATATACAGGGTGTTTCTTACTCTTGTTAGTTTTCAAAAAGCTTTGTGGTTTTCAACAAAAACACGAACAACTAATAATACGTATTGTAGCTGTGTTATTTAAAATAAAATTCAAAAGCTAAGTTATTGGATAGAGTAGATTTCAATTTTCGACGAATAATAAAATGCCTAAAAGAAATTTTGAACAATTTCTATAACTTGTCAGTGTAATTGTGTATTATTTCTGTTATTTAAGTTTGTCTTTCTTTTAATTATTATTCTTATTCCAACTTTTTTCTTGATCGTCAAGTTTTGACGTTTAAATTCATACCCAAGTAGCACAAATAGGTTTATATGTAATAGCTTTAAGAATAGGTAAAAGATCTTGAGAACAGTTATTCAGCATTAAATAAGCATTTATAAATCCAAAATAGGCGCAGCTTATAAAACCATTTTATAAAAGCTGTGCATATAATATTTATTCCACTAATTAGTGTTCTGTCTTGCATTCTTACAGCATTTGTAAAATATACTGTAATAATATACAGAAAACATTGTCTTATGAAACAAATTTGCTAATATAATTGTCTCCAAAGAAAAGGTTTATACATGTTTTATAAAAGCTATTTTTTATGAATGTTGTATTAATGTTTCCAATATACAGTACAACAAAACTTTTTAGCATTATAATTATGCGTTTCTATACTAAATCGTTTCATTAATAATAAAACTAAAACCTTTGGGCTATTGCTGATTGTCAGCCATATAAGATAGGTACTCAAGAGTTAATATTTACCGATATACACAATAAAATTAAATATGTATCTAGAAAATAAAAAACTATTTGCAACGAAAATTTTATTGATGAAATATATCATGATATCTTTAAAAAAAACTATGCGCCTTTAAAATTAAACAGATTTAACAATCGTCTGTAATAATTTTTGAAAAATGAAGTCACAATTTTCGATTCAATAAAAAAATAAAGAATATGTACATAACAACTTATTAAATATAATTCAATAGACATGCACTAAACTAATTATTTCATGATACATATATTATAAAATTGAATTTCTTTTTGACGTAATTTGGTGTACCTACAATATGGCTGACATCTTGTTCTAAGCATGTTTGAAAAATATGGCTGCTAGGAGGGAACTTCTACCACAGTAACTATAAATCTGTTATAAAATAATTATAATATTTTATATAGTATTTTGTAGAGTAATTTGCTGTCTATCGTCAGTTTAAAAATTCTGCGTAAACTGCTTCCTACTACAATTCCAATGGCGTCAACAGAACAGATAGTAAAGTAGTATATAAGTATGATGGGTACATTGTATGGCTAGTAAGTGCTGCGTACTTGTATTTTAATTTTAATGTTCTGAAAGAAGCTCTGAAGATTTTGAATGATAAAACACTTTTAACTAATAGCACTGCTAGTAGAGTTTAGAAGAGACAAACATACGGAGTACTGTCACAAAGTCACAAATTTGATAATCATATGGGCAAATCAGCCGCTTATTGGTCACAAACAACGAATACATTCTGAAAGAGACGTGAATGGATGTCTAAAGATGAAATCATTATCAGTCAGTGTTCATTGTAATTAATAATAATTAATGAAATTATAATCAGTAAACAGTATCTCAGTACTTTTAATGTTGTTGTTTACAGCACAAAATAATTTTGCAATGACTCTACAAGCAACGTATCGTATAAACAAACTTTCCGATTTTAATGAAACTTGGCAAGTTTGTTTGAAATAATAAAGGGCTTATTTGAGCGTAATAATATAATTAAAATTAATAATTCTAGTGTTTTCCTAAAGGGTAACTAATAATATCCTAGGACATAACGCATAGTAGGTATTTAAATTTTAAAAACAACTTGCAGTTTTATCGCCATAATTCACAGATTTTTTTAGGTTACGGACAATATTTCTGTATATATTTTTATGTCTTCGAAAGCTTTACTATACAGTAGTTTTATAAGTTCAATATATATTGCTGCATCTCTCAAAAATAGCTTTTTAGTTAAGAAGAAACTACTTAAACTATTCTGCTTACAGCTGTAATAAAACCCTTTTATAGAATCTTTTTAAAGCTTATTGTGATGTTATTTAACTTAAAAAGCTAAACTTATTTATAACTTAGTCATATAGTGTATTTAAATGATAATATTATACAACATTAATAGTGTAATCAATATAAGTACGGCATTAAAGCTTTAAAAATTGACCGGTAAGTGTTTATAACATTATAAAAAACAAGGAAGCAGCTATTACACGTTAAACTTTTATAGAAGCTTCATTTACCACGTTCATAAGACTCTACGAAAGCCTTTATAAAATTGTTGTATAATTTTACTATTAGAATATTCTAACGGCTTTTTTATATACCAAAATTGCTATAGGAGCAAATTAATACCTTATTAAGGCATTAAAAATCTAAAAAGATACATTTGTTGCTATTAAAAAACAGTTATATAACTTTAAGCGATGTAATAGTAGCATTTGTTGAGTAGCCAACTTTTGAATTTTCGATGATTTTAAATAACACAGCTACAGTACGTATTATTAGTTATTCGAGTCTTTGTTGAAAACAACAACGTTTTTTAATAACTAATAAGGGCAAGAAAAAGTTTTCAAATTAAATTCCCCATAAAATAAAGTCATAATTTTTTATGTTCGCCAACGGGTTAAAAAATTCTGTCACTTTTTTATGGTGCATCACCCCTTATCAACCCATTAAAATGCTTCAATGGAACTCTACTTGCTGTCGATTAATGCTTTTGGTACACTCACACCGTATACCAAATTTTGTTTTTCTAAGTTCAAGTATAACTGAGATATTGATTTTTTTAGAAATTTGAAACTCCACTTTCAAGATATATAACTTCTGAGGGGAGCAGCTTAAAAGGTAAGTTGCGTTAAATCACCATATTTTGGGTTCCCCTACATACCCCTGCTCTGTGTCAGTTCTTATGCGAAACGCCCTGTATATTCTAAAATGGTTTGATAGAAAGTACATATTTTTATTAGTGCTGGCAACTGAAACCGGTTTTTTGGATAGTCGGTTAACCGGTTTCGGATAATTCGGATTTTTATGAAATCCGAAAACCGGTTATTCGGTTATTCGATTTTTCAAATATCCGAAAACCGGTTATTCGGTTATTCGAATCTTCAAATATCCGATCATTCAAATAACCGATTATTCGATAATCTACTTCCCTTTTTTTTTAGACATCGATTTGTCCGATTGTAATTGACCTTAGACAAATTCTCCGGGTCTGTCTTTGTAAAGCACCGATTTTCAGGTATCCGGTTTTGGCGATTCAAGTAACGGGTTATTCGAATAACCGGTTTTAGCAACTATTCGACTAACCGGTTTTATCTGAAATCGGTTTTTACGGAACCCGGTTAACAGGTTTCACTTTTTTCCGGTTTTTGCCAGCACTAATTTTTATACTAATCAATCAATTAACACAGCAGTTAATATACTGATATTCGGTCATTTATAATATAATGAACTTAAATCTAGAGACCGGGGAAGAGCAGAATGTTCATCTTAAAACTGGAGTATTTAGGAAATTGTTCGCAATTGGTCTACATTCAAAAATTGTTTGAATTTTTATTAAAAAAATACTTCTAAATTACTGGAAAACATTTTAGGGAACAAAAAAATTTCACAAATTTTTTAGTGATTCTGCTGTATCCCGGTGAAAAATAGCCGTGTCAAGATAAACAAAAGCATTTTGAAGCTTTAAGTTTCTAGTTTCAAAATCTTTTGACAGAAAGCTTTCGCTGTGTCAAAAGTAAAAGCTCAAACAATACAGAGCTAATTGCCTCTGCATTGTTTGAATTCGAAAAAAATTTTCTGGGTGAGTGGACAGATCTGAAAAAAAAAACTAGAAAATTTGTGACATTTTTTTTGTTCCCTTAATTTTTTCCAGTACCTAATGTAAGGATAATAATTAACATTTTTATTCATCAGTTCATCTTAAAATTTGAGTCATGAGTGAAGTTTAGATAAGAAAATCATTTTATTGTATTGTTGTGCATAAGGAGTGAGGGTAAAATAGTGCAAGACTAAAATTTGACAAAGATTAGGCAACCAACTCTACAGCAATAGAATGAAATGTAGGGGTGTTATCTAATTAAGCTTTATAATAGGTGTTCACATGTTTATTCTTTAGAGATGATAATATGGACTAGAAAAGTACGGAGTCAAATCCCATCGTCCTTGTTGGCACGTAATGGGGACTATTAACTGAATTTACATAGTATTGATTCCAATTCCCATAGAAATGCGACGTTATCTGCAAATAGTTTCCTTATCTATAACAGACGTAGGTACATTTCTGGAACTACTAAATTGTAACCAAAATCTGACGCATTTGAATTTGATTAGATGTGACTTTAGACTACCATGTGTTAAAAACCATTAATCGCATCTGATGTCAACAAATTTTAGAAGAAACACATTGGAATAGTGTAAACAATCCAATGTGAAATGTATAATTTAGTTTTTGTGTTTATTTTTTCTTTGATACATATTACAAAAGAGTTTTAGAATAACCTGAATCCGAATTTTACTGCCAACTAATTCTTTTGTAAAGAATTAATGTAAAAGTACAATATTCAATTAATAACAAAGAAATGGTATTAAAATTTCTTCCAGGTTTTAAATTTAATTAATGTTAATATGCCATATTTTTTGCAATATACATCAAATTCAATGTTCATATGAAAATGTTACACTTTATGTATGTATTTTTTTGTTTATATATTGGTTTAATGATTATAAATTTTTAATTCTAAAACGGTATATATTTTAAAAAATGTACAAGTTTGTTAAGTTTATAGCCCTCTAAGTCCTGGTTGGTTCCAAATGTAACCAGTGGCAGTCATTGAACAGAACGCGTTGTAGTACCTGCCTGGTGCTCTGCAAAACGACCATTCTGGGCATTTGCATCTGAACTGGCTCTGAAACTCTTCTTTACAGACTTCGTTCCACCAGCAAATTCTCTAGGAACAGAACATGTATTTCATGTTAAGAGAAATAAATCAATTTTATGGTTACACCTTGCAAAATTTAAATTTTTTGGATTTACAAAATCAGCTACCACCAATTTATGTTTTGAATGTCTTTGAACAAATAGAAATATACAGTGTGTCCAGGGATTATTGCCTGGAAAGAGAAAACAGAACTAAAAAATTACTAAACCTTGTCCTACACGCATTTAGATACAAACCCAACTTTTTCTCTGTAATAATGTTGCTTGATGAATAGCTCCACATGGTTTCTGAAATCAGCGGCTGCATAACATTTTGTTTTAAATACATAAATGAAAATCCGTGATAGTAGAATTGAATCTCTGAAGTGGACAAATGTTGGGGGCATATCTTCCTATCCAATTCTTACAAACGTATGATATAACCATTACGGATAACTTGATTTGAATGGAAATGACACAACGCGTAGAAAATGCATTTTTTAAGATTAGATGAAAAGATTTTTTTTTCAGCTTTCTCTTCCTCGCAATTCTTAAACACAATTTTCGATTTGACCAATATGGATTTTTATTTATGGGAATATTTGAAAGTTTAAGAAAATCCTCATACCGAAAATAGTGTTGAATTACTGAAAAAACAAAATTAGAAGTAGCACTGGCAACATTTCACTAGACGAGATACAAAATTGCTACATGGTATTTTAAAAGAGATTGTAACTATGTTGATGTGTAATAGCTGTTTTACATTGACAATTTATTGATGAATAAATTGACGAAGTTCTTCATGAATTAATTCACGAATTTATTGGTAAACAGTGTGATTTTACACTGCTACAGACTTTGTCAAGTTTTTTGAGGTATGAATCAGTTCTACCAATGAATCAAAGAAGCAAATAAATTTCAAAAATGTCACCTTTCCACTCATAATTGTAGTAATACAACCGGTATCGTTCTGACACATATATAAATATTAGTTTTTGTAAGTAACAAATCAGTAAAAACAATGCAAAACTAGTACGATGCTACACAATTATTTACATATTCCAATAACATAACCTCATTACTGATCTGAGGCTGGAAATCTGTTCGGTTGGTTGGTACTTCCGAACTTCATGAAGAAATTGACGAAAATTAGAACATGCTCTAATTCGTCAAGAACTTGATGAACAAATTCATGAAGTTATTTGACAGTAGATTTGGTGCATTACACTTGTCCAATTTATTGATGAAACGACTTCATGAATTAATTGATGAATAAATTGTCAATGTAAAACAGCTATAAGAGAACATGTTTGAATATATTTTTTGTTTTCCTTCCCAAATGTTTTACTTTAAAATAATATTATTGATTGAAGCTCGAAATTGAAATTTGTTCCTATTTTTTAATAAAACATTTTTAATATATTTTCTTTAATTAAAAAAAAATCCTCTCTATTCTTCAATTATTTAACATTTCCTTATTTTCTGGACACCCTGGTCACCTAAATTTATCTACAGCAATGCGATTATTCTTAACATTTTTTTTATGAAGTGATACTTTTCCAAGAAAAAAATCAAAAATAAAAAAGTTTATTTCTCTTCATCGGGCAGTATGTGGGCACATTGTAAAAATATATAAATAATCATAACACAGTCCCACAAAAAAAAGTCGTGATCTGGATAACTGGCCATGGTATTCCTATGTATTTTTCGACGCTGAATCCGAATCCGAGGTCCGAAAGAGTATAGAAGAAGGGGTTCCAAGGGGGTTTTGACCTCGGATTCGGGTTCAGCATCGAAAAATACATAGGAATACCATTATCAGTCATCCATGTCACGACTTTTATTTTTTTTTGTGGGGCTGTGATAGCAAATAAAAAAAAAATTGTTTAATTAACTTAAACGAAGCTGGTCTTAATTTCTTTTACCTCTTTATTGAAAATATTTTTAATAACTGTTCATTCTATTATGGGGAAAACCAATAGTCATATCTTTCAAAAAATATGGTTCCTTATATTAAAATATTTTTATAAAACAGCATTGATTTACTTACATTTAGGACTTCTATAATCTATTAAACTGAACTATGCTTACTTCCGTTAAATAGCCCCTGACTGAATTATCTGTACTTCTGGTAACAATCACTCTATTCTCGACTAATACTAATGCAAATACCAGTAACACGCATGGCTAGAACATAAATGTTTTTTGGTAATTAGAAGGTGGTTACCGTACGACATGAAGGACTCACCTGTAGCAGTTTTTTGATCATTTTATCTTTAGCAGGCTCAACGTAATATTGATCTGTTCTCCCGCCTCATATAAGTAACGACATCTTTTGGAACAGTTTTGTGTTAGGAGTTCTGAAGGGGTGTATTTCTAAAAATGATTTCGTTATCTACTACCTACCAACAGACACTTTTTTATATTAAATTATATGTGTTCTAGTAAGAATTTTCTAGACTCATCTAAGGCATACCTGACCTGAAATTGATTTTTTTTTCAAAATTTTTATCAAAAAAGCCCCATACCTTGAAAACGGTTTTCGAATCAAAGTTTATACAAAATTTTTAATTTAGTATTACCGGAGAAATGTTCCTTTAAATATTTCCTCATGTAGTCAGTGGTCATTTTTCTAAATTAGTTAATAGTATTTCTCAAGTAAGGGGGATGAAGCGTGCCGGGAACGAAAATCCATTGGCATGTCTGCGTAAAAGGCAGCAAGATATAGAAAATAATGAAAAAAGATAATAAAACATAACATCTAATATTTTTTACGGTTTGCTATAACAGGCACTTTGATCCATTTTAATTATTACAGCATTTTAAAACGTCCCAATTGTGTTTTTTTGATTTATAAATTTATTATAGCCATGGAGTTAGACCCCTCGTCTACGCTTATGCTATGACGTTTCTCAGGACGGGTTAAATCAAGTCCGTTTACACCCACTAAAAAAGCATTTCCCTATTCCCTACCAAGTGCAAAAGACAGAGATAGAATATAGATCGACGTTCAATGTAACTCGGTCTCTAGACGATTATTGATTATATCGATGTGCGTAGCGAGCGGCACAAAGATAAATAATATTGAACTGTATAAAAATCATTTTATATTTTATACGCATTATGGTAATAGTGTTTATATAATTATGTCTTAGTCACTCTCTATAATTTCGACCGCGGAGTATAAAGACATAATAATATCTATGTAAAAATAACAAAAGTATTATATTATTGATGTGTTGATTTCTGTTGATTCTTAGTTAATAAACATAGTTTTTAATCTATATAATGCTTATCTGTTGATTTTTAAATACCAAGAATTATTTATATTTCATTTGATTAAATATAAACATTCCACGATAATAGCATTATTATTTTCATATATAAATATATTTTTAAATCTCTCGCGGGAATTACAGCGGGATCCCGCTGTAAAAGCGAAATTACCGCAAATTTCCAGCTGGAAAAAAAAGACTGCGGGATTGCAAACCTGGCTGTTGTTATTTCATTCTCATTTTTTGCTCCTTTTTGTGAAGGTTTATACTTAAAAAAAATAGGGGGAGAGTTTGCTTTTTTTATTATTTAGTCATTTTACGTCGGCCTATTTCTGCTGCTATGGCTAAACCTCACGCCAGAAGACGAGCAACTCTCAACCTGGAAATTACTTGCCTAACATTGTTTAGGCAAGGGACCACCGGTTTTACATCGTTTCCGATGTAAGATAAGTCTTCCTATACAAACTTCGCCTAAATGTGTGTAGCTTCTGTGCATATACCGCCATACAGACCACTACAAGGTGGACGAGCATCGAGAGCCTTCCCTGAATGGTCACCCATCCAAGTATAGTCTTTCCGAAGTCAGTTGAACATGTATAAAAACGCCTAGCAACAAAATTTAATTAGTTTCATAGGCGTCCCTAAAAAAGTTTTCTGAAAAAGGCAAAAAATGATAATAATTTGTATATAATGTGTATAAAATTTCTATTACGAGTATATGTTGATTTGACCAACAACATATTTTAATTATGTATGTCCTCAAACAGTTTTATTATATTGATGGTAAATTTCGTTTTGATCCGTTTCAAAAGATCTCCAAAATGCCATGTTGTAATAATATTAGTAAACAAAATATCCCTCTTATTTCTCCCTATCGCAATTGTAATATGAATGATTAATACAAGGAGCCTATAAAAAATTAAAATTACCTGAATCACACCAAATTCCGCATTGCTGCACTGCACTGCTTGGCCATTTGTTGACGACTGAATTTATGGCCAGGTCGCTCAGTGCGGCTATGTTTGTGCCGCGTTTGACCGCGCGCTCATTCTTCAACAGGGCGACCAGATCTGTATGTGGGTATGGCTAAATCAAAATGGGAACAAGTTTTTAAAATATTTCAATGCCGAGTAGCTGCGTCAGCGACCGATCCTGGTACATACTGCCAACCTCTTGGTTTTTCAATTGAGATCGGAAAGACTATACTAACTGCGATCGGCGTTGTTTAAATTTTCCTACATGAATGCTAAGTCGTTAGGCTGCACTCGCCCAATAGAGAGTGAGTTAATCTTTGAAAAATAATGGGGATAATTAATTCATAGTACGTTTTTCTCATTAACGTTTCATTTTCGAGACTAAAAGTGTTAAAGTTGTTGCTTCGTAGAGTGTTTTTCTTACTTGTATTTAAATCTTCTTAAGATAACGGTGTCAAAATTTTTTTGCGAATACCTAAATATCAACTTGACTTTATATAATATGAAAACCATTTTACTCCTGGATGAGGGTAGTTTGAGAAGTATAATTGAAGGAAAAATATTCTGTCAAACTTTCTTAAACGTCCTAATAGCTTTGCAAAATCCAAATGATAATACAAAAAAAGGTAAAGCTCTTTGTTCCGCCGAAGAAAAAGGCAGAAGTAAATTTAAAAATATTAATATGAAAAGGTAAGTTGCTATGGATTCAATATAATTTGTCAATACACATTGTAATTAAAGTATAAAAGAGACATCTTATTCATTTGATTATTTTTTGACGTTTCTTAAAACCAATGAAATGCTTCTTTATTTGTCACAAGGGTAAGTTTCAACCAATTATGTCATTATTATAGTGGGAATAAATCTCTTGTGATTATTCTCGGGAATAATCACTGTGGCTTTTATTTGCGTAGCAAGTGTCAGATAGTTGTCAAAATAATTACCTAATTGTGTCAACGCGATATATAAAATGGGTGAAAATCATCGGTTTAGTACCTTTTCTGATGCAGAAATAACAAAAAAGATTGTAGAAACTACTTCGAAAAATACTCTAATAAGTAATCAGTCTATATGGAGACAATTTAAGACCTTCACCAAAGAAAGAAATTATATTCTGGATCAATCTACTACAACAGCTACTCTGGCATTGATTTTGAAAGATTGGGCTTATAACATGAAAAGAAAAGACGGAAATGATTATAAAGAAGCAGTAATAAAGACAATGTGGAATAAAACGGCAAAATTAGTTCAAGAACTTTACTTTAATAAGTATAACAGGTCCTTTGATCCTTTCCATGATATAGAATTCAAAAATGCTCGAAATGCAAGAGATGCAAAAAGAAAAATTTTACAAAAACATCCTGAAAAGCACAAACAAAGTTCTGTGGCACTTTCTAATACAGAATTGTTGCAAATTTTTAACTATTGGGACGAAGATACACCTTGTGGATTGCAAAGAAAGTTTTTTCACGTTGCATCGTATGAACTAGCTTGGAGGGGAGGAGAAGCTACGAAATGTTTAGTTCATTATTTTAAAAAAGAAACCGACATAATAAGATTAAATACTGGCCGCATTGAATACAATCCCATCTTTACAAAAACTGCACAGGGTGGAGCACAAAGGTGCGCTAATAGTAAATGGTTGACTCCAAACATAAATAACCCAGATATTTGCCCTGTTCGTCTTTTTGAAAAACTAATGGGTAAACGTGAAGAAAATATTAAAACCGAACGCTTGTTTCTTACTCCAAATCCGGCTTGGCAAACTCATGGTTCTTGGTATAAAAACGTTCCTGTGGGAATAAATTCCATTTCAAAATGGATGAAAGAATCCGCAGAAAAAGTAGGTCTAGACACAGTTACTAAAAAAATAACTAACCATTCTGCCAGATCAAGTGCAGTAAGTAACCTTTCAAAAGCTGGTGTAGGAGAACAAGAACTAATCAAGGTCACTGGTCATAATTCTGCAAGTTCGATTAAACCATACTTACAATTGAACCAAGAACATCATTCAAATATAATAAATAATCTTAGAGAAAATACGCAGGAGGAAACACTTAATATAACAAGCAATTCCAAATCCTCAATAAATAATGACTCTCGAAATATTTTTAATAATTGCGTTTTTCATTGTACTAATTTAAATTGTTAATTCTTTTAATATATTCACAATGTGTCAACGATATTTTCGTATATTGTAATAATTAATTAAATTAAATTTTTCAATAGTTTTATGATAGTTTTATTGATCTTTTTTATTGTAAAAATTTGTGAAAAAAAAAATAATCTAGTCAAATATAACTCGCGAGTTCCATAAATTAGAAAATCTGTTTCAAAAAATCTGTCAAATTATTTTCAATTTATTCTCACTCTCTTGTTATATTATTACTGAAAATATTTCTCTCTAGACTAATAGTCCTAGCCATCCCCTAAAATTACCCTTTACGCAACATCTAGAATTTGAATAACACTGTATAAATTAGTAACTTGGTGCCCTAAGTCCGAGCCTAAATCTATGTTTAAAATATAACTATGATGTCTGGAAAGACTTTTAAGATATAATAAAAAACTTTTACTACTATTTTTTCCCGAAAAGTATAGTAAACGAGTTATATACCATACGTGTTCTTTATTATAATTTTCTGAAAAAGTCTATATATAAAAAGAAAGCCTTGTTTTTTTATCAAGAAACAAATTAGAATCACTCTGTACTATCCCTTTGAAACATAGGGATCAAACAAATTTTACAACATTATTTAAGCTGTCAAATAATGAGTTAGTAAGCTAAATTGCCCTCATATAAGTGTTTTGATAATGTTCAACTCAGACTTGATTGGGTCAAACGGACACCAAATTAGGATTCATCGACCCCAAAAATGTTTAGATATGTAGGTTCACTTTGTTGGCAATTGATTATCTATATTTGACCTTGAACTGACCTTCAACCAGAGCTAATCGGGTCACACAGACACCAAATACAGATTCAGCGGCCCCAAAAATATATAGCTACCATGGTCGTCTTTCGAACTTCCCACTTTTTTTTGTGAAGCTGTGTTATTATTTCCTCGCAGTTGGTTTGTTAGAGCATAGAGGAGAGAATCGTTGCTTTGGTAAATATATTTCAGGATTATGTATTAACATATTTTTGCATCTTATAATAAACGTTTTTTTAAGTATATATTGATATTAACAGTATCAACAGCAATATATAAATAATTTACCACTACTGATGTGATGTCATCATTAGCCTGTGATAGATAATTGACTCTTTTCAAATTAGTTGCCACCTTGTTCAAGTGTTTTTCCTTTGTTGTGGGTTTATATTTTAATTACAGTCATCTGAATTGAATTGTTCGAGCTTATTACCACATGACCGTAGATCTTAATCAACCAACATTTCACGGCTAGATTTAGGGATTTTTAGTTGACACTACATCTAAAATATTCTAAATCTTAGCGTCACCAATATTAATGATTCGTTTAAAATGAACAATGACAAACCATTGCGTCTTCACTAGAAATAATGCTATCGCTCATTGGTCTCGTGAAAAATTACACCAATGCAATCACCAGCCGGTGAAAGAGAATGTTTGTGTTTGAAGATAACGTTGATCTTATCGTTTTAATTTTACCGAAATGTAATTGCCAACCCAAAGGAAATAAAGTTGCTGTTCCAAACAACATTACTGGTTCCGCGGCTTGTAATCATTTTTGAAGGCTCTGTATATAAATCTGCAATCGAAATTTTATATTTTGTCAAAGTTAAAGAATAATTCGGTTTTAGGTACTCCTACAAATAAACAAGAAAACACCAAAGACATTTATCAAAATATTTTATTTACAATAAATACTATATAAGTATATACATATGCGATTTTTGAACAAGTTAACACTATACACATTTTAAAAAGTTTAAACTTTTATATATACAGTTTAAATAAAAACATGTTAACATTTTGCACATTTTGCCAACGGGCTTTAGAAAACAATATTGTTCTTATTATCAAGGACTTGAATTATTGTCATAGCCTTGCATAGTCTAATGAAAAAAAAATCAAAAGATGTTTCTGTTGGAGGGAATATGTCTTTGAAAGAAATTAAAGATTAGCCTGACTGTATATCTACGTATATCTCACAAAAAGATTCTTCAAAAGCCAGGATCCTTCGTAAAATGAACAATAAATAGTAAAGTCAACAGATATTTTATCTTGGAACAAACATTTATCTCAGAGTAATAAAATAAGGATTAAGTATTAATATTTTTTTATAAGCAATATCACATTACTAATACTAATCATTTTTAACTTGATACGTTCCGATTCTATATCCAATGATACAAGCCAAAATTTAAATGATCTGTTTCATTATAAATACGGTATATAATAACACTAATATCGTAGAACAGAAATGAAGAGTAATTAGCAAAAAGTACCTTTCTAAGATGACAAATATATAACATTACCAGAATGGCTGCTTTTTCTAATTCAAACGTTAATGATATTAATTTCTTTACAAACAGAATGTTCTTCCTTATTACGAATAATTTCAAACGCCTTCTTTGTATAAAATTTATTCAGTCCCTTCATTGTTGTTCTCCGTATTAGTATTTTTTTACGCACTACGGTATATTTTGGTTGTATCCTCTTTATATAGGTCAAAATTGATCTATTTCTTCGAATTTTAATAACTACTATAAACGTACGCGTCAGGGTTTCTGATAATCTAAAAACAGTATCGATTTCACTTTATATTACAAAGAACCATTCACCGTACTTAGGTTAAATTTTTTTAGGTTGTGTCAAGAAGTAAAATTGACTCATTCACTAGGTGTTTTCATTTCCTCATTATGTATTTGTAATCGTAAAATGTGCGAATTTATGGCAAGGGAATCCATGTGTACGAAAACATAAATAATACAATTCGTGTTAAAATTAACCACTAAAAATTGATCCCTACTTCAAAGTAGATTTTCTCGCTAAGATGGCAATTTGAAGAAATTTCAGTTTTCTGTAAGCAAGAGCACGTATTTAAACGAAATTTCAAATCCAGCTGAAATAATTATTGTCCACTTGCATGCTCAAGTCTTCTGAACAATTAGTTTTTTGAATCATCAGATCATTGAAATGCACAATTAAATTAAAGCGTACCAACTTCTTGTAATAATTTTAAAGAATGAAAAGTATTAACATTACAAAAAATCAGACTCAAGAATGCAAGAGAAAATTAATATATAATAAAAACAAAAAAGGACATATGCATGTGCTGAAAGCTGAAATTTCAATAAAATTTCTATCTTAGCGCTGCTAATAACCAATAATTAATTTTGAATTCGAGTGGCGTCTTTTATATTTATATATTTTTTATAGTTTCCGCAGAAAAGATGACAGAAGAGCGACATAAGTAAAAGGTTGATAAATTTAATTTAATAATTAAATTAATAATTATTTAAAACATACAAACGGGTAGCCTGTAAGGTCAGATAATATATTTGCGGCTCCCTTCATACATATAATATGGAGTCGGTATTAATAATTCATATATGTATGTGAGCTTTCAGTAAAGTTTCCTAATATTTTAGAAAATTATATTTATTATTTCAGTCAAATATATTTTAGATTGCTTACATATCACAATAAATAATCATTACATAATTTTAATTTCCATTTTCAAACATTCTAATCTACCTAAGTGGATTTGTTTTTCTACTTTCCTTCAAAGATACCTACATATAAACGTAACCCTAAGATTACGTAAGATTTTGGAATAAATATTCGTTGTCGTCCTGATTAATGGTAATATTTCCAAATTCCACAGTAAGAATATTTTAAAGAATTGTACACTGGCTCAACTTATGAATATATTCCTAATGTTATTGATATTTCATATGCAAAACATTTCGGATGGATTCAGATGGAATCTATTTGTCTTTCATTTTATTGATAAAACAGTTCCGACTATTTGAAAATGCGATTTGAGGTAGAAAGCTTCTCATATTATTTATATTTCGACTAAAATAACTCTTTTTTAAAACTAATAGAGTATAGGAAATAAGATATATATGTTTATTTGAGTGGTTATAGAGAACTGAAAATCGTTCGGTTTTTCAGTAAATAATCGAAATTAATTTCTTAAAATGTTAAGTTTTAAAAGAAGGATACCAAAAATATCGTTAGTAATGTATTTGCAATCAGTATTAATTATTTCAGAAAATATCAACTGTATTTCAGATTTCATCAATAGTATTTCAGAAAAATAAACCAAAACAATTTATTCAACATTGTACTATTAATGTAATTGTTGTTAACCTCATTCACAGTTTTTAGTAATGTCTGATTTTTTCAGTTTAAAAGTTCACATGAGAATTAAACGAATTGTCAAATTGACTCAAGTCATTCGAATGAGGACTTATTGCTCTTCAGTTTGTGTTTTTGGTTGCTTCGTTAGATTTAATTTTTGTGAATTTTATTCCTTTGAAGTGGTATGTTAAGTTGATAAAGGATCATTTTCAGCACTTGCTCCGTGCATTTTTTATCGAAATGGGCAAAACACTAAAGCCGTTCAAGCTACTCGGAAATGGTGATGTTGCGATGAATGAAAGAACGACCTGCCGATGGTTTTCGCGTTTTAAAGAAGGTGACCTTAAAGACATGAATCATTCCGGATCCCCTATTGAATTTGTCGAAGAGCAATTGAATCGACTCCTTTACGAAAATCCAAGATAATCAGCAGAAAAATTGGCTCAAAATATGGGATGTGGTCAGAAAACAGTAGTAAACCAAATGCATTCGATGGAAGAAGTTCAAAGACTCGGTCTTGGTCCCACATGTTTTGAACGAAAATAATAAAAAACAACGCTCCGCAATTGCCACTAGTTTCCTCTGTCGTCATCGATCAACACGTGGTCATAAAATACGTTTTCTTCATCTTTTTGTCACTGGTGATGAAAAATTGTGTCTGTAAGTGAACTTGAAGCGGAAAGAATGATTAAGCCCATAAACTTCATCCCCGAAAGACAGTGTTATGCGTCTGGAATTGGACTACACGCGACTATTCAACAAAAAAGAGCAAATCGGCGGTACGAGGTTCTTTTGCAACATGACAATGCGCGACCCACATATCGCCAATATGACCAAAACGGCCATTCGGGAGTTGAACTGTTCTGCTCCACCCGCCTTACTCTCCCGATCTTGCACCTATTGATTTTTGCTTCTTCCGCTCTTTGTCAAACTCCTTACGCCATGTTTATTTTAACAACGACAATGGATTAAGAGCTTTGTTGGATGAGTTTTTCAGTTCAAAACCGGAGGATTTCTACAGAAGAAGCATCGAGAAACCTGCTGAACGTTGAGCTGAGATCATAAATAACAATGAAGAATAAATCATTGGTTACGAGGATATGGGGTTTGGGTTCATGAGCTTATTAAGTTGTAATATCATTGGTTAAATGTTTATGGGATTTTGTTAATTGGATTTAGCGTTGGAAGCTTGAGTCTTAGGGTTATTGTGGTTTAATTGTTCAGAATATCGTTTTTTTTTTGAGGTTATGAAAAATCCTGAGCTGATGAGGTTAGATAGATATCGGATTCGGATTCAGCGACCCAAAAACGTATAATAAACATGGTCTGACCTCTGGGCCAGACAGTCGTTTTTTTGTGTGGCTGTATAATTGTAAAGATAAAAATAAAATATATAAAATTGGAAAAAACGGACATTGCTTATTCCTCAACCCAATACAATTGATGTTTTCTGAAAGTAAATTTATGAATTCTGATTTCAGAATGTACTCAACATTTTCTGAAACAGAACTGTCTAATACGAAATACAAATAACGCCTAATGTGAAATTTATTAACATGAAACTGAAATTATACTTTGTGAAATTAAATTAATTACTTCCAAAATACATCTGTAAGACGTGAAGACTAAAAAACAAATAGAAAAGTAAAAATCATTTAGAATCACGTACCGCGTAGCAATATTACATCTCTAAGTATGTTGCAATTACGATTTCTTATTTTTCGTAATGGTAAAATTCTAAATACTGTAAAAACGACATAAGGCCAAACCCACCCAAAATACACACCGCCCTGTACATCCGATACACCCTCCTCTCTTTTTCCCTGTTGAGAACCTCGAAGAAAGTTATGTATAAGATGGCGCCCGCAGAGAAACCCTCCAGTAGCACCACAGCGGTAGACTTAGCTTTAGGCTCCATATTCATTTTGATGGTGAAAAGTAAGCCTAAGGTAACACCAATTGGGCTAGACAAGGCTAGGATTAGCATTTGAACAAAAATAAACATTGTCTTTGTCTTAGCCAGCAGCAGCTCGAGGCCCATGCAGAAGAGTATCGTCGCTGAGTGTATGGACACAGCGATGAATAAGTACCAAATGTCGGCCTTGTTGTTCTGCAACCCAATGGCCAATCCCTCGAAAATGGCGTGCATGGACAGGGCAAGTACCACGAATACCCACCGCATTATCTGCTGCTGAGTTTTAATTTCGTACTGGACCGCTTCTTCAACGTTTCTCTCCGCTTCTTTGTTCAATTGAAGGTTCTTTTCATTCTCTTTTTCCACTTCCGAGTTCAAACTTAAGGAGTCGTATACTATATTTTCATGATTTTCATCTATACTTAACACATCTTCCTTCAGATCTCTAATGCTTTTGACTTCATTATCCTTGGTTTTCTCATATTCCTCATCTATAATAAAGGCTTTGGTTTTATCGCTAGGTTCTTCCAAAGGCGTTACGCTAGGAGTTATCTTCTTCAGATGAGTAGAGCATGGTTCGTCGGGTAACTTGGTTATGAACCAGTGGGAAAGTTCCTCGGAGAAGTAAACAAAAAAGAAGCCTACGCATATGGTCATCTGTGATAGAGGGTATTCGGTGTTTAAGTTGCCTAATGCTTTCAGTTCTTCCATCGAGCTGTGTACCTAAAAAGAAAAATAGATTTTAATAACATTCCTATTAATCAAATGTTCAGTTTCATACATAGTTATTTCTGTTTAAGTTTTCGTTTCTCTTGAAGGCAACCCTATATCAAATTTAAATAGACCTAAATAATGAACGCAAAAACAATTAGGTAGATTGTATGATGTCCCTTAATGACCGCATATATCAAATTGACTGTGATGCTATAAGTTACACTGTGTTTCTCTTGAAGGCAACCCTATGTCAAATTTAAATAGGCGTAAATGTTGTACGCAAAAACAATTAGGTAGATTGTATGATGTCCCTTAATGACCTCATATATTAAATTGACTGTGATGCTATAAGTTACAGTGTGTTCGTCTAGATAGATAGAATAATACTTTTATTGTGTTAGTCAATCATATTTTTTAATGTAAAAATTGAAATTATATTGTAAAAACAGAGTAACACCACTTCCAATGCTATCTACTGAAAAATCAGTGGTGTGAGAAACACCAAACTATATAATGAAAAGTAAGACTTTCTCTATAAAAAATTATGCACATTCGTCTTATATTTCAATAACAATAAAATAAAACTACCAATTATATTTGATTTTTTTTTGCAATACTTTGTATCAAAATTTTTCCGCCATCCCTAGTATGAAAGTCAAGAACCGCTACTGGTTATCAGTTTATTACTAGTACAACATAAATGTACCATAGTACATAATACTAGCAATAATGATAAATGTCCTAGATCATTGAGTTACATATTTACGGAGCTTGTAACACATGTTATTTTTTCTAGAAATAGCTTTTGCGAATTAATAATTTTGAATCTCAGTGCAAGCGATCAAAAGTAAAATGATGTAATTGTTTATTTAATATAATTTTCAGTACTTTTATCAATTTTCTATGTATTCTAACTTTGAAAATGAATCCAATTTAGCACCCTTAGTGCAGGAAACTATTTTGTATGTTGAAGTGACAGTTATAATTAACGACCTTCAATCCTTTCTTTCTTTAAAATTACCCCTTTCATATTTATTTTGGACTATGAACTGAATAAAACGTCAATCAGAAATAATGAGTGTGTCAAACTACATATAATCTACCTTTCGCATTGATTTTAGTTCGGTGTTTAACATCTGTTTTTTAAAACAACATTCAGATTATGAATGCTTATAAATTTTTAAGTAATAGTTTCGATCGAAGAATCTAAGTTTAGCTATGAAATAACTGTTAACCTAGTAAAATAAAATATTTGGTATTTCGTTGTCAATTCGATCAGTATGAAAATTTAAGTTATTCTTTTATTAAGGACGTGCTTAAAAACCATCCATTATTTGAAGTTAGTCCGCATATAATACCACTTATTCTCTCAGTAGCATAAATAGCATACATCTACAAGATGTTTACAAATTCAGAGAGGATTTTTTATTGGTAGGTAAAGTAGAGAGCAAGACGCATTTTCGATAATCAAAATCGTTGAAACTGCAAAACAGTAACTTAAATATTGAGAATACTTAAATAATAATTATTAAAACTTATTGAGAACCTCTGGAATCGTCCCCGACTTGCATACTACATAAAAATAGCTGAATATTTGTGACCGTTAAGAGCATATCCTTCAGTATTTTTCGCTTGTTTTTTTATGGTAAACAGAAAAATGTTAGTTAAATTAGTTTCATTACAGAAACGTGTGTATTTTACTGTGAAAATTATTAGCGAAGATGTTTAAGTGAAGTCATTTATTTTTCCGGATTTCTACTTTTAGCTGTATTTTCTTATTACGAAAGAGTACCGGGAACATATTAAAATGGTTCATCAATGTAGTAACAATGGATATTGTGGTAACATATGGAAAGACTGATAAAAACTGCGGGTTAGCTACACATACAGGATGTTCCACATAAGAGGGATTCTTCTGTAACTCTAACTGTTAAATTTATAAAAAAATGGTTTTAATAAAAGTTGCCTGGAATCATGTGGGCCATGTAAAGAAAATATGTTTAGCTTTAGAGGTTGTTCCAATTCGCGTGGGCGCTACATAACTTGTTATTTTAAATGGAACACCCGGTATATTATTGCATTTTTGAATTCCTTGATTAATACTAAGTAGTATTTATTAAACGTACATGGTGTTTAATACTTACCGTTTTCGAGATATTGAGTTGTTTTTGATAAATATCACGATTTTAGCTCTCTAAATCAGGCTAGATACCATTTAAACAGTAAGAACTAGAAACCCGCAGTTTCCACAGTTCGTTTTGGCATAAATTACTCTATCTTGTCATTTGTAAGCAAAATGTGTACGTTATTCAGACTCGAAAATACTGAGACCTATATTTAATAATCTTACGAGTTGAAAATATTTTTTTTTTTTTCAAATGGAATGACCCACATTAATTGACATGGGTGAATGCAGAAATGAATGTCCATACTTATCTCTCGCAGTTTTTCAGAAAAATCTGAAAAAGTAGCTATGTAACAGCGTCAAGAAGACCTTGCAAACAACGTTTATTGCACTATTTGACATACAAAGCAAATTAAATGTCACTCTAGTTTTGATTAACGTTGACATTGTTGTTGACGATTTATAAAAAGCAAAGTTTACGTTACACCACCAACTACCGCGGAAGATAATATGCGGCAGCGCATTACAGTAGCATTTCAAGAAATTGATGACCAATAATGTTGGACAGTCTTTTAAACACCGAATTGGTTTGTGTATTAATCAAAATGGAGGACCCTTCCAGCAATTGATGTAAATCAGCGGTCTAAATATTCTTCTCCCTGTCGTGTTCCAAGTTTCAGTTTGTTTCGTTTTGCGTTTTGTTTTAGTTGTTGTTAGTGGTTTAGTTTTGTTTGTCAAACCACTTTTTAACATGCCAGTAAATATTGACACTGTCAGTCCCAAGCATAGATGTCCCAAGCCTGATAGAATGTGAGGGAAAAGTGGCTTTGCATGGCCTTTTTGACGCTGTTACATAGCTACTTTTTCGAACTTTCGAAAAGAACCTGATTTCTCTGGAAAACTAGAAAAATTTGCAGCAAGTAGCTATTAATAGTGGTAATGTATGTACAAAAGCTCAGTCTTGTAGTTCAAACGGTTCCTAAGATATTGGCAAAAATCTGAAAAAAGTTTTGACACCGTGTATCTCGAAAACGAAAGCCCGAAGAGAAAAATGGAAGAGGAAAAATATGTTTCTCTTTTCAAGAGTAATTTACAGTTTTCCGTTGCGACACTTATTTAGGAACACCCTGTATAAGTATGGACAACCTTATATCAGTCGAAAGGGCATCTAATTTTGCATTCACCCATGACAATTAATATGGGTCATTCCATTTGAAAAAAGATGTAAAAGTACAAAGAGGGCCGGAAATATACATATAGTGATCATTATCTGTTGGTAACAAAAATAAAGAAAATAATAAAATATCAAAATAATGAGAAAACACAAAATGTTAAAAAGAAGGAATTTGAAATAATAAAATCCTATAGGCTAGCAGAAAAGAACATAGCTGAAAAGTTTGAGAGGGCTATAGAGCAAATAATAGAGAAAGATATTGAAATACTGAACTGTAATATTGAGGAAATATGGAATAAATTTAAAGATACAGTTATCGAAACGGCAAAACAAGAGTGTAGAACATGCAAAAAGGATAACAGGAAGAAACAAACGGTATGGTGGACAGAAAAAATTAAAGAACATGTAAAGAGGAAAAAAAGGCATGGAGAAATTACCTATTAAAAGAACAGTAAATACTTATGAGACATATATACAGGAAAGAAAACAAGTAAAAGATTCGGTATTAGAATCAAAGAAAAAGGCTTGGGAAGAATTCGGAAATAAAATGGAGGAAAATAAATAGTAAAAATAATCAAAAACTGTTTTATACAGTGCTTAAATCATTAAGGTCAACAGAAACATATGATACATTACATTTCAAAAGTAAAAACGGCGACACGTTAACAGATGAAAAAGAAATAATGGCAAGATGGAGAAAGTACTTCGAGGAATTGCTGAAGGCACCAGAAAATATGGAGACAAATGAACAAAGCGAATTAAGAGACCTAGAAGAAAATGAAGAAGTAATAACGCTAGAAGAACTAAAAGCGACAATTAAAGATTTGAAGAATGGTAAAGCACCAGGGGAATATAAAATAACTGTAGAAATGATAAAACACTTAGGAGAAAAGGGTCTGGATATATTACTCAAAATATATAATAGAGCCTGGAGATATGAACAGACACCAAAAGAATGGCAAATTTAATTAATAGTACCAATACATAAAAAGGGAGACATTAAAGAATGTAGTAACTATAGAGGAATAACATTGTTGAGCACAGCTATGAAAATCTACGAAAAAATAATTGATAGAAAAATTAAATAATATAGAATCACAAAGTGGACTCAGAAAAGGAAGAAGTACACAAGATCACATATTCACTATCAAGCAAATAATAGAGAAAACCAATATGAAACAAAATAAAATATTTCTGGCATTTATTGATTTAGAAAAGGCTTTCGATAAGGTACCTCGGAAAAAAGTATGGGAAAGTTTAAATAACAGAGGAGTAAATAAAAAGACAATAAGGATAATACAGAATATATATAAGAACAATATCAATTTTGTGATAAGAAATAACATGAAGTCAGATGCTTTTACGACAAAAGGTCTAAGACAGAGAGGGGGTTTAAGCCCGACGCTTTTCATACTATTTATGGATGAGATAATAAAAAATTGTGCACTAGAAATAAAAAAGTTAAACGTTGGATATAGGAACTTACAAAGGATAGACATTTCAGAGAGAGCATTTGCTGATAATGTGGTAATCATGGCGGGAACTAAGAAAGATTTCGAGCACTATTTAAATATATGGAACTTGGTACTTGAAGAGAATGGAATGAAAATGAATAAAAAGAAAACGAGAGTGATGATGATAGGAAGTGAACAAGAAATCGTGAATATAAAAGTAGGAAATGAAAATATACAGCAAGATGATGTCTTTCAGTACTTAGGAGTAGAGGTAGAAAATAACGGAAAACAAGATGCGGAAATAAATAGGCGAATAGATAAGACAATTATATTATACAATGAGTACGAAGTTTATAGGAAAAAAGAAATCTCGCAGAAATCAAAATTAAATGATTTTAAATCAATATATCGTCCAATCCTGACATTTGGCTGCAAATCATGGGTTCTATCGAAAAGACAGAAAAGCAAGATACAAGCAATAGAAATGAAGTACTTACGAAGAATAAAGGGGATAACAAGAGAAGACAGAATAAGAACGGTTAAGGTAAGAGAGCATTTGAAAATACAGTCCATATTAGAATTTATCGAAAAAAGACAGCTGAGCTGGTGGGGACACTTACAAAGGATAAATAGTGCAAGACCGGTCAAAAAAATATGACAAGCAAAGACACATCAGAAAAGAGGAAGAGGGCGACCGAGAACAACATGGGATCAAGTATTTGGAGAAATATTAAAGAAAAGAGGAAAGAAATGGACAGAAGCAAAGGAATTGGCAAGAAACAGGCAGGAATGGAGGAAATTTGTGTATAGTTAAGTGAAATTACTACCTACACCACAATGTGGTAAAAGGGTATTTCGATTATATATATTCTATTTGAAAAAAAAAAGTTTTTCAACTCGTAAGATTATTAAATGTAGGTCTCAGTATTTCCAAATCTAAATCACGTACACATTTAGCTCATAGATGATAAGATAGAGTAATTTATGCCAAAACGATCTGTGAAAACTGCAGGTTTCTAACTGTTACGGTTTAGACCCTATCTAGCCTGATTTAGAGAACTGAAATCGTGATTTTTTTTCAAAAACAACTAATTATCTCGAAAACGGTAAGTTTTAAATAGTATATGCATTTCATAAACTCTACATAATATTAACCATGGAAGTCAAATATGCAATAATATACAGGGTGTTCCATTTAAAATAACAAAGTTATGTAGCGCCCATGCGAAATGGGCACCTGTATATGTGTACAGAGATTTAAAATAAACAAACACCAACACGTAAACAGAGGCAGACGTTCCAAAAAGGTTTCCGTAATAATAATATGGTAAGTCAGTAGATAGATATACTTTTGGTAATAAAATTTTCATATCTCGATTTATTTACTCATCAAATATCGTCCCTAGTTGTCTAAACACCCTGTATTATTAATAAAGAAGATATGTCCAAAGGAGGGTCGAATAAGTACAATAATGTATTACTAAGTTCTAACAATAAAGTAATAATCAATTTCCAACGCATTATCATGTAGTACTGTTTGGACATATCTCCTTTACTGTCATAAATAGACTCATAAATGTCAATGTATCCATGAAAATCGTAAAAATATAAAGACTCCAATAATTTAGTGTTTAGTTGATATACCCGTTTACAATATTTAAATATAATTATTTTGCAGATCTTGTTCATAATATACAGGGTGTTTGAAAAAGTTGATACAAAATTTAAGGGGATGAAAGTAGAGCCAAAAATAGTAAAAAAGGCCCCTATAAACATTACTGAGATATGGCCCGCCAAAGGGGTCTTATCATTTGGATATTTTTTTTAATAACTTTCTTTCTCATTAAGATAACTGAATGAAAATTGTAGGTAATAATCATACCATAAGGATCTTTAACTACCATAAGTTTTATCAAAATCAGTTATAAATAAGGATAGTTTTGCAACTACTCTTTACAGAAATTTTTCAAATTTTTTTTTAATCCTTTGAATTATCAAGCAAATAATATTACTTTTTAATGAATTAGACTATTTTGAAGAAAAAATGTCTACTTTATTTCGAATTCTGCGTAGTTTAATCAGAAATAATTATTTTTTAAATAATGTAGGTATGTATTTTTTAAATAAATGTTTATTTTGAATTTTAGGTTATAACTGAAAAAAACATAAAAAACTTAAAAAATCTTAATTCCGAGTGCGACTCAAATTGTCCACCCTGCACCGAAGTACTGGCACGTAATCTTCTTAGGAAGTTGAATCGAACACGCTGAAAAATTTCATGTTGAATTCGTATCGCATCGAAAGCTTCACCAATACGTTGCCGCAACTCTTCAGTGGTAGTCGCAGGCGTAGCATACACCATTATTTTTACGTCGCCCCATAAATAAAAATCATCCGTATTTAAATCCGGCGAACGAGGTGGCCATGGTATGGGCGCGTTATTTCCACGTCCAATCCATTTTCCCGGGAAGGATCTATTTAAAAAATCCCGCACTTACTGAGCATAATGTGGAGGAGCTCCATCCTTCAACAAAAACCATGTTTTCTCGTGGTTTAAGAGGAATATCGTCTAGTAGTTTTGGAAGATCATTTTCCAAAAAGCTTAGATATTCAACACCTCTCAATCGATTCGGTAGAAAGAATGGTCCCAAAATATGATTATCAACAATGCCGGTCCAAACATTCACCGAAAATCCCCGTTGATAACGAGTTTCAACAGTGGCATGGGGATTTTCATCACACCACGTATGGAGATTGGGCAAATTGATAACGCCATCCCGTGTAAAGCAAGCTTCATCGGTAAATAAAATTTTTGAAACGAATATGTAATTATCTTGTTGGTGACAAAGAATTGTGCGACAAAAACTAATGCGGACGGCATGATATTCTTGACGCATACCATGAACTCTTTGAAAATGGTAAGGGTATAATCCATTTTCCCTAAGCAACTGCCATACATAAGTATTGTTTGTTCTAAAGCGAGCAGACGCTCTTTTTACACTCGCAGTAGAATTACGTTAAAAAAATCTTAAAATTACTTCGTCTAAATCATGCCTATGCCTCTTTGGATGGCCACATTCACGATATCTTAGAGTTAGGGCTCCTGATTCCATCGCCTTTGCATGAAACAATCTTGCAGAAGGTTGCCTTCTATAAGGAAAACGTTGCCGATACTCTCTTTGAGCCGCCAGACTATTTCCATTATAGAAAAAAAAATTGAATGAAATGCAAAGTTGAGCACAAAGATCACAACTAAGAAAATAAAGAAACATAAGAATTTAAATCATAGCACGTGAAAGTGACAATCATTAGTATCATTACAATGAAACTGTCACTATGAAAGATGCCTACTATGTAAAAATGTTTTAAAAAATGTTACAGTTCTGAGACATACATTATTTAAAAAATTATTATTTCTGACTAAAGTACGAAGAATTCTAAAAAAAAGGTAGAGACATTTTTACTTCAGAAAGTCTAATTCATTAAAAAATAATATTAAATGTGATAATTCAAAGGAATAAAAAAAATTCGAGAAACTTCTGTTAAGAATAAACTATCCTTATTTACAATCGATTTTGATGAAACTTATGGTAGTTAAAGACCCTTATGGTAGTTAAAGACCCTTATGGTATGATTATTGCCTACAATTTTGATTCGATTATTTTAATCAGAAGGAAGGGCTCTCAGTAACGGTGCTCCGGAGGACCAATGTTTATAGAAACTTTTTTTCACTATTTTTGGCTCTACTTTCACTCCATTAAATTTTGTACCAACTTTTCCAAACACCCTGTATAAAATTATTTTGTTAAGATTGTTATTCACTTATAATAATAATAATAATACCTAAATACTAATAAAATTGAAAAGAGGATTAATGATTTGTGCAATTGGATTTAGTTTTCATAGATGTATCTCCAAAGTTTATCCCAAAACTTAACGTAAATTTGACATTAGTGAAAGACTCTTAGTTTTCGAAATATTGACACATTTATGAAAATCAAGGTTCTTCAATATTTAGCTAATTTTATAACTGTTGTATCTGGAGTATTGACTTAGAAAAGTAATTTTCAGGAATATAAAAAACTGACAATAAGAAGCTAGGAATTAGATGAAAAAGTTAAAAAACTAAAGCTATCAATTAAATTGTTCCAAACAAATATCCTGATTCCTATTCCCAAAGCAGTTTATTTAAAATATATCGTTTCCATAAATCCGAAACAACTAAATCAAAACGATCTTGGCTTGAAACGATATTTTTCAATAATTTTGACGAGTCAACACTTATTTTTTTTAACGTTGCTGCTTTATAAAAATTTAATGATTTGTGCTGACCTCCAACATCATGTGCAAGAAGCAAGTGGCAAACAGCACTCCTCCGCCGAAGGACTGACACAAGGCGATGGCACAGTTCACCTGAGCGTGCCTCTTCTTGTTGATGAAGGTGTTGGAGTCGTCCTCTTCTTCCCACCGCCTCAACAGGCGGTATAACTTCAGCGGCAGCATGCCGAAAAAGAACCGCAACAGTCCGAAGAGCACGGCCACCACTATTTTTGTCGTGGTCAGATCCATACTCGCGATCGGCGGAGTTTTCAAACGACTACATTGTGAGGGTGTTAAGGGGTGACTAAGTTATTCTTACGGCGGTATTTCGATTAGTAGGAAAACGTGTCCTACGGCAACATGCGCGCTAAAGTAACAACCTGTGTGTTGTTAACAGTTGATAAAAAACAAGTAATCAGGGTAGATTTGCTGTTTCGTAATATTTATTTTTAATAATGGGGAATGTTTTCTTTTGTGGTCTCTTATGAAAAGCAAGATAACATTTGTATCCACTATTATAAAATCGACATTTTTAGTTGCATATTTATCTACAGTAGTCCAGTCATTGAAGGTAAAATACGGCATTACTGTATTGTAGTACAACAACCCCGGGTTCGATCTAAAAGAAATATAAACGTAGTTGTGGCCAGAAATATGTGATTCGTCATAAGGAATACCTACGTTATATACATCTTTTTCTAATCGACCGAAAGGCGCTGGCTACTAACTTTAAAGAGGGGAAGTATGGTTTAATTTTATAAAACAAAAGCAGAGTAAGTACACCTAACTTTATTATTTTTGTACAACAATCTTTAAATTAAACACGTGACAAATAAAAAGAACAACAAAAACATTAACAACCATTTAACATAAAATGAGAGTGTCAGGCTCACCTAGAGCTCCTGTGGGGAAAGAGCATGGCAGAGAAACCCACGATCGTTGCTCTAACTACCCAAATATAAATACAAAACAACCGCTAACAAAAGGCATAAATTAGTATCCTTTGCTAATGATAATTAACACCCGACTTATTTAATGTGTCACTAAATGTCACCTCACTCAAATTAGACATACACACTTCCAAGTAAAACTGAAGAGGTTCGGTGTTAGTTAGCCGGCAGGGC